GGAATACCCATGTATATTTAAAACATAACTTCTGATCACCAAATGAACATGTGGTGATCTATTACTCATCCGCCCCTAACAATGAAAGATAGTTTTATAGTTCACCTTAGTCCAATAAAAGGAAGAGGCAAGTAAAAACATGAGTCTGAAAAGAACAAACCTCCACTTTGCCACCTTTGGCTTAAGAAATGTCAGGCCAAGCCGCTGAACAAGTTTCACTCCCAGCTTGCGAAGGAGTGTTTGGTTACTTTCAGAGAGCTTGCAGTTATCAAGGCAGTCAAGTACTGTAGAAGCTGCAGTAAACAAACGTCTCATGAATAAATGTGACATACTTTTATTTTTTCATATTACTTTAATCCATGATAGACACAAGGTTCTGGGAAGTTCTAACTCCAAGTCTAGCAAGACTTTTATCTATATTCCTTTATAAAGTGTTAGTTATGATATTTACAGCTTTCAGTATAGTAGTCACAACTCACTGAACATGCATGTGTGTTATAAACTCTATTGGCCCCAATTAGGATCAGGCTGAAAGATTAATAAAATTCAAAGCATATTTTGAAGGAAAACATTTAGCTATAAACTTTAGGCAACCTGTGGTTTCAGAGGAGCAAATCCATACATTTTGTAGAAGGCTTAACTAACCTTTCCCTCCCTTACCCACCCTTTTTCTAAATGAGTGATTAATTCTGAAGGGAACTAACGTTGAGAAGTATTTGAGTTGTTCTCATTAAACAATATCTTCCCTTTTTTTAATCCTTAAACATACTGGGTGATCTCCAAAATCTTGCCACTCATACAATGGCACTTGCCTTTCCTCTCTGCTTGCTGCGCGTGCACACACCCCCAATCTGTTCCAGAAGACATAGCAACCTTTCAAAACAGATTTGTGGGTGCACAGGAATGCAGGGAAGAGGAGAGGAAGGGCAAGTTGCATTTCACAAGTAGATGCCCATTCCACCGGTGGGCACTGGATTTCACCCGTTGTTATAGCTTTCCCTCAGGATAATTATTTCCAGTTTTATGCTACTGTTTTAGTTTGAAACAGGCATAGGCAAACTCGGCCCTCCAGCTGTTTTGGGACTACAACTTCCATCATTCCTAGCTAAGAGGATCAGTGGTCAGGGATGGTGGGAGTTGTAGTCCCAAAACATCTGGAGGGCCACGTTTGCCTATGCCTGGTTTAAAACCTTACATATTTTATATTTTTGGTTTGTATGATACTAAATGTGGACCACCTTGAGAGGGCTTTTGAAGTAAACATAAATATATTTTCGCCTATCTCTAGTTAGACGGATTTTAAGAATATATTTTATTATTACCAGAGATACATACTGAGTGTGTTGTGGATTTTGTTACAACGTGAATAGAAAAAAAAAGTACTTTCTTTACTATCTCTCTAGAATCCTTCCTATACATAAGAGAATGAAAATATACTTGAAGTGAAGATGATACTACTAATAGCCAAAGGAAGAGGGGGGAAAGGCTGGTTATATTTGTCACCTGAAGCAATGCTTAACTATCTTAAAGAATGTCCCTAAGGCTACCATATTAATAGAAGAACCAGAAAACCTGCATAGCTCTGTAATTCAGTTAGCATTCTTCCAGAATACATAGTAAATATGCCGATTTTAAAAGGTGCTGTGGATCTCATTCAGATATGAAGATGGCTGCATATCCTAGCTTGCTTTGAAGCTGTTAATGACAGCTTTCTAGTTCAGACAAAATGGAAAACTAAAATTGATGAAAGCTTTACTGGTTTGTTTGTCAGCTCGTGCAAAAAGGGCTCGTTTTTATATCAGTTTATTAAGCTGCGATACGGTCATCTGAATTCAGCCACTATTTTCCTCTATCCATATAAATACATTGATGCTTATGGCTACAAGTGTCAATCTGTGTAATTGAGCAGTGATAAAATGTCACTGGCCAACAAAGGCATTCAGCAACTGTCATACTCACTGTACATGTTTACATAGGAATCAATGTGAGAGATGGGCTAATATGTACAGAAAATAAAGCAATTTAGGTATTGTAAGTCATGCCCAAATCCACTATAAAAGTGAAAAAAGTTGGGCACATTTCCACCAAAGGGTAGCACTTAAGTTCATTGACTTGAATTCGAAGAACCATCAGCAGAAGCCAACAGAAACTGACTTCCCTCCTTCCACACTCCTCCCAACAAAAGGCCCCCTAGAACAGCATAGGATGGGACATAGAAGAAATTGCCTCATATTGGACAAAACCTGCGTGAACATGTTGCCTCTATCCAATTCTGGGAGATTTTTTTTCTTCCCAACAGCACCCCACACTCCATCCCATGTTGTTCAGCAGGGGCCCACAACCTCCACCAAAGCTTTTGGGGACCCAGGGGGTTAACCTTCTTTCCAGTTCACAGTTCTCAGAATCCAAGCAGATGCTTCAAAACTCTTGCTGTGAAACCAACAGGACTTAACAATGTTTTTGTTTTATTATGTATTTTGTGTTCTTATTTCATATTTTTATGTTGCGAGCCACCCTGCGATCTTCGGATAAATGAATAAAATAAACAAGTAACTTTGGCTGCCTTACGAGCTTGTCATTCCCGTAATGGGAATTAAGCTATCTATAGTATTACGAAGTGACTTACCATACGGCAAACAGTCTTCCCTTTTGCCGTGTTTAAAAAGTTGTGCCTGAAAAGTGAAAGGAAAAAATGTGTTACTAAAATGATGGAACAGGAAGAGACGATCCTAAAAGACAGGGGTTTTTTGTTTCTTTGTTTGTTTGTTTTTTAAAGAATCAATTTTTCAGGCTTGATACCGAAGCTGTAAGTAGAATATAGTCTGGTTCGCACGGAACACCAAGTAAAACCATGTATTAGCACAAACGTGTTTTTCCAGAGATGAGAATGTAGCCACTTCACTCCTCCCCTGCTCCTGCTCCTGTTACATTTCCAATGGCCAAACCATGGTTTGGCTCAGCATGTCTCCAAATTCAGGCTTTTGATCTGTCTTGCTTCAGATAAATCCCTGTTCCTATGGGACCTTGTTGCATTTTCAAAACATACCCTAAATTTGGGGAAATGCAAGACGTAAAGTAATCCTATAACGTAAGCAGCTTAGTTTGCTACAGATAAGAACTTCTATGCTGAAAGACTTTCTATCTTCTCCGTTCTTGCCTTAGCAATTTCCGGATTCAGCCTAGCCAAAAGGAAACTGTCTAAACTAGTTTAGTCTCATATTTACCCACTCTCTACTTTGGCAGAGAGCTCTACCACCCTGCTAGTTCTGTAGGACTTAAAAGCCCTCATGGCTTTGCAAACCTCTATGAAAGGGATGGAGGGAGCAATAAAAAAAAATGCTCATTTGGAGTCCAACATACAGGCAACAAATGCTGACAGCTCTAGGATGCCAAAATGAGAATCACCATAAAAGAAAAAGCTAGACATGACCAAAATGTTCAAGACAGCAAAGAAAATACCAGAAGCAGAATCTTAACATTTTGATGGCTCTCCTTTGGGTTTTATTCTCTACTGCTCAGGGGCCAGATGCAATCTGAGTCTACAATATATTGTTATACATTGTTATGATTTCAGCAATTTCGCAATCTTCACCTGTTTTAGTCAGTAAACCTGTCATCAAATGTAAGCCTCAAGACTGTGAAGCTATGACACACACTAGCCAATGTCCACCCAAACTACACATTTCTGGCTACTCCCAGTGCTCTTGCACAACATGAATTAACCGAGAAACAAAATAATAATCATGGCTGCTATCTGGGATTTTGGACTGGTAGCAGGTTTAGTTTGTTTATCCAAATGCACTGAGGATACAGTCATTTGCAATGCAATCTAAACTAGCCTTAGAATGTATATCAAAAGAAAGAAAGAACTTTTCTCCTTCCCTAAGTTATTATATGTAAATATGTACATGGAAAAGGGACACTTATATGTATGGATATCCTGAAATTTTATACTACTGCAAGTGAACACCACATTTTTTTTTCTAGCAGTAGCATCCACCATCGAATCATACAAGTCACCATGGGTATGGCTCAATAGGACACAAAAACAAGCTCTATTGGAGCTAAGGAGACACCATTTCACAAGGGAAACTGCGCAAGTCAGTATTGCAGTCTGAATGATAGTGTTGCATTTAATTATGAAAGTGTGGGCTGGATCGTACCAGAAGTTTCTTAAACTAAAAGAGCAATGACTAAAGCAACCCAAAGAATATCCCTATGAGTTATTCATTTTTACCCATTCATTTAAACATTCAGAGACTCCAGACTGGGTACTTTATTTTAGCCTATGTTTTGTCACTCCAGTAGGAAGGAAGCCTTCCAGATAAATATGGCCAGGAGTTAAAATTAAAGGAACATAGCCCAACCCCAGAAGTATTTCCTCCTATGGAACAACTATTTACAGACTTAAGTAATTTCAGCTACAGTGCATATGCAACAAAAACTCCCCAAGGCTATGCACCTGCTTTGTTGTAGGTTTTAATGAACAGCATTTCATGATCCTAAAAGTAGCATTAATGAACACTACATTGCAACGTACAGAGAACACCTTGAGGATTAGGATCAGATTAAGGCTTTTAAATAAAAAGGATGCTAGTAGCAGAGGACTTTCAACAGACCTTGACACTTCCCTGCTAACAATGTTAAAAATGCCAGCTATATTTGTGCCAGAAAGAAGCCCCCCCCCCCTAAAATCAGGAGCCTTGCAGAGATATATGTAATATTTCTTAAATCTTTTGGAGCGCTAACTCAAGATCTTCATGGAGCTTTTAGAGAGATGTTCACATCGTAAACATTGTTGAGCAATCACCAGACTATACAGGGATTTTCACCTGTGACAGAAATCCATGAAAAGAGGTTAAACCAATAGGCTTGACTGCATAAAAGATGTTATCATAGACATAGCTGGATCTTTCCGATTCAGAATACCTTTTGGTTTGTGAGTGTACATAAACATAAGGCCTTGGCTGGCTGCAAGTCATTGTCAGGACTCTTCTTGAATCTGGGATAGCTCACTCAGTAGACCATGAGACTCTCAATCTCAGAGCCGTGGCTTCGAGCCCCACATTGGGTGAAAGATTCCAGCACTGAAGGGGATTGGACTAGATGACCCGCACTGTCCCTTCCAGCTCTACCATTCTATGATTCTAATCACCCAAAAGGAGTTGGAATTAGTTCCACATTCCGTCAGTTAAGATGGCAATATGTACTCAGGACTGAAGGCCAGTACTAAAGTCCCTTAGGACCTCCCAACGTGTCTTTTCATTCCCAACACAAAGTGAACCAACTATAGGGCTATGAATCACATGCTGAAATATCCACTTAACATGAGCCCAGTGTAGAATAGTTTATCAGAATAGAGATATAATCTTTTCGCATTGCAGGCTTACTTTCTCATTGAGATCATCAGTTAAGGCTAAACAATGTGTCACCCTAACATCTGATCTGCACTTGGAACAGACACGGGAGAGGATCTTTTCTGTGGCCAGGCCTAGGTTCCCTGCTAAGGCAGCCTACTTTGCTCTCTGCAATGGTATTTTGCAGCAGCGTAAAAAAAAAAAATCCTTTTTAGAAGGCATTTCATTTGATTTTAATTTCTTCCCAAATGTTTTAGGACTCACTTGTCTTTTTAGAGCCATGGCTTCTCTGGAGGAAACTTTTACTGGCTAGGTGACTCACTCTCTGTCCTATGTCCACATCTGTAACATAGGAGTAGCACTTCTCAAATTCATAGAGTTGTTATAAAGAAAAACCCAATAAAGTTCCTAAAGCACATACATAAAATAGTTGGTTATCTTTGACAATAACTACAGATCAGGAGTTCTATACTTAGTTACAACATAGATGTGTTTTAGAGTTTGGGTGAATAATGACAACACAGTGGTACCTCGGGTTACAGATGCTTCAGGTTACAGACTCCGCTAACCCAGAAATAGTACCTCGGGTTAAGAACTTTGCTTCAGAAATCACATGGCAGCAGCGTGGCGGAAGTGGGAGGCCCCATTAGCTAAAGTGGTGTCTCTGGTTAAGAACAGTTTCAGGTTAAGAATGGACCTCCAGAACGAATTAAGTTCTTACCTCGAGGTACCACTCTAAAGCAGAGATGGGCAAAAATAGTCAGGGTGGAAAACCATCGCACGGGGATATACCTAGTTTATTTGCTTGTACGACCCTATCCAGGTGCCTTATAAGATGCCTTATGAGGAACGGCTAAGGGAGCTGGGCATGTTTAGCCTGGAGAAGAGGAGGTTAAGGGGTGATATAATAGCCATGTTCAAATATATAAAAGGATGTCACATAGAGGAGGGAGAAAGGTTGTTTTCTGCTGCTCCAGAGAAGCGGACACGGAGCAATGGATCCAAACTACAAGAAAGAAGATTCCACCTAAACATTAGGAAGAACTTCCTGACAGTAAGAGCTGTTCGACAGTGGAATTTGCTGCCAAGGAGTGTGGTGGAGTCTCCTTCTTTGGAGGTCTTTAAGCAGAGGCTTGACAACCATATGTCAGGAGTGCTCTGATGGTGTTTCCTGCTTGGCAGGGGGTTGGACTTGATGGCCCTTGTGGTCTCTTCCAACTCTATGATTCTATGATTCTAGGTGCATTCAAACTACATTCCACCAAGTTCAACAAGACTTGGAACTCATTTTATAGCATAGATGAGAGAGAGGTGGTGCTTTCATATTGACTCTCTCCTGAAGCAACAAAAGGTGTGCAAAGGTCTCAGCTGAAGAAACCTATTTCTAATTAGGAAGCCAATAATATGTTTGCTTTGTCTTGTCTTCAGGAACTTTAAAAGGCCACAGCACATTATGTTAAAAGCAGGGGAAGGTGTCTATTATATGCCTTGGGCATTCCAAAGTTACACCACGTTCCTTCCATATTAATGGGGGCACATAACATGTGCCAAACTAACCAGCCTGCTGAGAGGAATGCAGCTCTCTCTCTTTTAAATAATTACACCACCTACAAATTAAAGAAAACCATTGGCGTATCCTAGCGACAGAAGTGTCAGATCTGGTTTTGTTGCTTTTGAAATAACATGGTGCAAGGTACAAACAAGAACTAGTTTCTTAGTAATCAGGGTAAAACCTGACACACCTCCTAATTGTCTGCATAACCCACTTTGGTTTTGCCTTTGTAAGATGTAAGAATCAGCATTACCTCTGGGAAATCTTCCCCAAGCTATACAAATCATCACTATTTAAGACTGGCATGACTGCTTGGCAGCAGGTACATCTTGCTGCCAAACAGATGGGAATTTGCAGTTACCCTCTGGCTCCAGTAAACTATGAGCAATGGGCTGTGCCCAACCTTAAGGGAAGATTGAAGAGAGCACAGTCAATTGCTCTTCAGCACCCCTCACAGGTCAGACAAGCAATTCACTGTCTCTAGTCCCATTTGCCCACCACACATTACTAAAAGTGAAGGAGAGTATAACAGGTGAGGAATGATTTCAAGAGGAAATCACCTGGGTCAAGGAGGAGCCTATACCCAAATTAGGACAAGTTTCATATAAGCCACAGGAAGCATGCACTTGGGCTGGCTACTATTAGAATCCGGAGGCTCTCAGCTTTGGTTTTCTTACATGAAGGGAACTTCCCATTCCCTCCTTCACTCTGCAGCCCCCTGCACCACCTGAAAATCTTGTCCAAAGGACTGGGGGACCCCCATGAAGAGCATGGGATGGGCCACGATGTTGCTAGGAAAGGGGGAAAGTGACCAAACTTAGGCAAGTACTTTGTGCAAGCAGAACCCCACTGCTACAAGCAACCTTCATCCAGTTCTGACCAGCTTCCCACTCCCTCACTTCCCTCTTTAAGGGAACACAGGGGAGAGGAAGGGACTACAAGGCCCCTTCGGTGAACTTTCTTCTGTTCTCAGGATCGATAACATTGTTCTATAAATAATAGTTGCTTGACACAATTTAGGGGAGGAACCACAGAACAGCTGTATAGCACAAAATGCTCCAGACTTCATCCTCAGATTCTCCAAGTAGGGCTGGAGGGGAAAACCTTGCTGAAACCCTGCACAGATATTGCCAGTCAGAGTAGATCATACAGAGATGGTTAGATCAATGGTACAACATGGAATAAAACAACTTTCTTTGTACCCAATTTAAATGAGCATACAAATCAGGGACTTAGCAATTCACATAAATTTTTGAATGAACTTAATTTAAGCCCAAACTGAAAAGCTGTAAGTAGGATTAAAACCAAACTGGAATTGAACCTCCAAAATGGTCTGGTGGTGAGTGAGGGTGGGGGGCAGGATAATGCACTTCTTGTCACTTTCTTCCAAGAAGAAAGGGAAGGGACAAAGAAGGGAATCAGCTTAGAACCCACCCTCCACCCATCCAAGAGACATGTCAGCCAAAGGCAGGCAGCAAACCTCCACATCAATGTGTCTAAAAATCTAGGTTAAAGGCTCTTCACAATTAGAGACATCAAACATAGGTATATGGGCAACCCTCATAGCTACACTTCTGTTTTTTGTGCCCCTGGGACTAAAGAACTGCATAGCAGGGCTATCTCTAACCTGGGGCACAGTCTACCACAGCACAGCAGTATTTACCAAACAATGCTTGAGAGCAGGGACAATTCTCAGAGAAATGCCCTTTTCTTAAGACACAAATAAAAATAGTTCTTAAGGTATTTCTTTTCACTAACTTGCTGCCTAGGATACTTTATTTTAAAGTCATTACTCACATTTGTGTACTGTATCTCTTATGAAAAGAAATTAAGCACAACTTAATAAGTTTCTATGCCCCAGGCTACTTCAAGATGAGGACATCGCTGTCACGCAAGAACTTGGTGTGCTACGCCCTGCAGGGCTAACAAAAAAAGTTGCTGGTTACACAGGGGCAGGTTTAGAAGCAAGCCTGCCAACACAGAGCGTTTATAATGTAAAGTTATTCAGTAGAAGCTTCTCGTAGTTATAGACCAATTGCAGGAGCTTTGCCACAAACGATTTCAAACGTATCCATAAGTCAACATGCACAGATATCAGAGCCTCAGGACCAAGCTACACCTTATCTTTAAAGGCATCACTGCACCTAATGTGCAGATTAAAGCAAATTAATCAATGGGAGGGGAGGCTGAAAACCAATGGGATCAAAGACATGCAGAGGGAATTTAACCTTTCCTTTGCCTGCTGCAATCCTGAGCAAAACCCCTTTTCTGAGCTAGTGTTACTGAGAGAACATCTCCCATTAGTGTACTAATGACCCCCCCCATGCAATTTGCATTTTTAAAAGTCTTATCTCGTTTGGTCATCAAATCTTTAACTAAGGTTAACTAAGGTTTCCCAAACCAGAAAAGTATCACATAGGTCCTCATGCTACACTTTTCCTAGCCTCCGTCAGTGTCATGCTGGCAACCAGCACAAGCTCACAAAACACACAGCCGACAAAGGCACATAATGCAAATATTGTCTGTCAACAGGAGCGTACATTCAGCAGCCAATGCTGCGTTTTACATTCAATACAGACATGCCTTATTTCAAAAGTGTATCTGAAAGAAATCAAGTAGTGCTACCTGTTGGCAATCCATCATTTCACAACAGGTGCGCTATCAACAGGTGCAGAAAAACAAGCCCATAAGTGGAATCAAGTTGTGCAATATGCAATGCATGTTTCAACAAGAACTATGTCAGTGTTAACCACTACGCATTAAATTACAAATTAAACAGCAGCATTCCTGTTTGCTCAGACCGATTCAGGAAGAAACATTTCAAAGCTCAGGAACTGTTCAGATGCTACTTCTCTCCCCACTCTACCCCTCCCTGTCAAACTTCAACATGTGGTGAAACTGAGTGTGTGTCTTAGCAATGCAAGCACAATCCCCACCTTCTCAGCAGCTGGAGCCTATGTTCAGCAGCTACTGCTGCATTTTCGCTAGAATACTTCATCTGTACAGTGCAATGTTTATTTAAATGTACGGCCCTGATTCCCTGAGGTAGAACCTGCTTTTCTAGTGGCTTCTATATCACAAGGTTTGAGGAGAAAGATATAGCATTCATTTAAATACAGCCATTACCTTCCGTGCGTTGTGAGGTGTCAGGGGTGCAGCTCACAA